AGGTTCAGCAGTCAGTCAACCTTGCAACTGAGCAGGACAGATGCAAGGCGCTGTGGGGCTGTAAATATTAGAGGTGGTCTCTTCATTCAAAGACTTTTTTGTGTGGTGGGAGATACGAAACACAAAACGACGTGAAAAACAACACAAGAGATGTCATGATATGGATGACAAATGACAAAAAAGGGGACAGGCTCTGGGAATTCAGGTTTACTGGGAAGTCCTCCCGTCGGGGATGGGACATAACTAGGCAGTACAGGTTGGAGATGGGTCTTGGGATGTGGAAGGTTAAGTGGACAGAGGGGGTTGAGGGCAAGGCTGAAGGGAAAGTCTAGAGGTCACACCCCTTTCTTTTTTTCTTTCGTTCCTCGTAGCCTTGAAAAGGAAAATTACGATGTGTGGGCTAAGGTGGTGAGGCTCAGTGAAGACCTGGAGCAGGAGAAGAAAAAGTCTGCAGCCTTGGAAATCAGCCTCCGCAACGTGGAGCGCTCGCGGGAGGATGTGGAGAGGAGGAACAAGGCCTTGGAGGAGGACGTCAAGGAATTTGTCAAATCGATGAAGGAGCCCAAGACCGATGCTTGAGCATCCCAGGAGCACCACAGAGACAGCCTGCAGAGACCCAGCAATGCTCCCTTTCTCACTGCTAGCTGATGACCAGGAAGCAATATTCCTCCCTAAGAAGGAGAGGACATTTTCGGGGGGAAAACATCACATTTCCCAGTAGATAAATCAGTGGAGTTTGCAGGAGGATAAGCGTGAGCCGGGACTTGTGTGGACATCTCCGAGCCCTGGGGCTGTATTCAAAGGGATTGCATTATTCCACCGTGGTCTCAGGCCGAGTGAAGCGGCACCTCCCGTGGCTGAATGGCTGTGTCCAATGGAGACACTGCTGCAGGCCACATCCCAGGACCCAGGCAACAGGGTGACCCCAACAGAGGCTGGACTGAGGAGTTGGTGCTTTGTTTCCTGTGTGGGACATTTCACCTAGTCAGATGGCCTCCGGGTGTCTCTGAGACACAGGGGCCAAAAATGATATTCAGCTTTTGATTTCTTAGCCATGGTGGGCTGTGTTTTGAGGGGCTGCACCTACTGAAGCCAGGACCCCATTCTGCCACCCGTCCCCCCGCCGTGATGCACACTCTCCAGGGCTGCAAACTCAAAATTAGTATTAGGCAAAGACAAAACAAGCAGTAAACTGGATTTATGAAAGCAAAAGCAATTAGAAAATTAGATTCAAATTTTTAAAAAGCAGAGCTATTGGCAATCCATACAACACCATTATGAGAGTAAAAGTCTCCCCTGCCTGGGGACAGATGTGCCCCTCTCTGGGCACATGGCTTGATGAGCAGGTCACGGGCCACATTCCAATCCCACTTGTCTTTCAGGGGCCACGATTGCATAGGGCAGGCCCACTATGATACAGCTTCCTTAGATGCTAGTTGGGTGTTTAGATAGTAACAGTCATCCTTCTGCATTAAGCCACCCTGGCCAAGGCCCCTGGTGAGGCCCCAGGCCTTGATACGTAGGATGGTGGAGTCTTTAGTGGTTTTTGTCATTGATCTAGTTAGGTGGTCTCCAGGCTCTTTTGACCATGTACCCCAACAATAGAAAATATTTGCGCATACATTCCTCAATATAGGTATATTTATTTATTTATAAATTATACACACGTACCACTGTATTGCTATATCATAAAACATACACAGGACAAAAATTGAATCATGATGAGATAAAAACGAATATAAGTAGATATTCTCAAATGTGCTTTTAGCTCTGGAAACTCCTGGCCCAATTTCCCAGCAGGTATTACCTGTACTAATGTTACATAGTTCATCCCATTACTCCCATAATTTTCTTGAACTCTTGAAGCCACGTGGCTGAATTAGTGGTTTGGAATCTCCGGTTACCACAGTGAGAGTTGAGCCTTCTGCAGCATCTGTGTCTCCTTTATTCCTTTTCTCTCCCTTCGTTTTCTCCCTTTTTCTCCTCTTCTCTGTGCTTTCTTCACTCTGGTTATTCCCCACTGCCTGTGGCCATGACATATTACTCACAGAGTGAAAGGGATGGACAGGGGGTCAGTGTTTCTCAGTCCTGCTACCCAGGCCCTGCTCCGCTCACCTCCAGCCCCCCAAGGACCAGACTGACAGAGGGCAAGGATGATCCCTAGAACTCCTCGTAGAGACTTGCTTACAGCAGATTGGGGGTGGGGAGACTGATTTGGAACATTATTAAGTAAAGCAATAAAATATTTGATTTCCTGGAGTTGATTTGTTTTTCAGTTACAGAGTAGCAAACAGAGAAACACTTCCTGAACACCTAATGTCCACTGATGAGTGTCTATAGTTCTGCCAGACGTGTGCCATGTTCTCCCATGGGTTCCTGGCACGGACCCTTTGAATGCTAATATAGACTTGAGTATGGAAGTAGCCGGCTTCACAGTTCCAAAGGGAACATTTGTTTGAAGGAGCAAAGAGGAAGCCCTGAAGCCTGTTTTCTTGGGGGTCCACGTTATAGGACCTTGCTGGGTCTCAGGCTGGGTGGAAGGTCCATGTTTGAATCCCAAGCCCCTCCTGGTCAGGTGATACCTCTCATTCCACACCTTTTGCCAGAACTGCAAGATCACAGAGCGGCAGGTCCAGCATCAGAAGCCAGAAAGTCAAGTCTTCACAATCGAGAGGGGACCTGGCTTGCCTAAACTGCTCCTGTGCCACCCTCCATATGAGGAGAACACAAGAAAGAGTTTCTCCAGGACCCCAGGCCGTCGTGAGTCCGAGGAAGGGCCAGGGAAGATCTGGGGTCTGAGGCCACTGTCCTCAATGCCCCGAAAGACCTCCTATGCTATGCATGGCAACGTAGCTCCAGGCCTCACCTGGACCTGGGAGCCAGTTTCTGGAAGGCAGAACCAGACTGACCTATGTCACCGGTGCTCTCTTGGACCCAGGAGCTCCCACTGTTACTTTCAAAGTCCTGCCATGGGCAGGATCTACCGAATCTACCTTTTTCCAGCCACCCACTCCTTCGCTGTCCCCTCTCTTCTACTGGCACAGGTGCTGAGAACTCCAAAAGATCTGCAATATGCATGTTAAAACCCCTTGCCCTCTTCCCACCAACATTCTGCACGTCCTCACCACCTCGAGCATGACACGTTAGGGCATCTTCTCCTAAGCGTGGGGCACATCTGATGGTTTTCCATACGTGTGTGCACTGGGTCGGACACTTTGTATTAGGGGATTGGCTGGGATGAGTCCTGTCTACATCCGCTTGGACCACTCTAACGAAATCCCACGGACTGGGTGGTATCTATTTGTCACAGGTCTGGAGGCTGGAGGCTGAGATCAAAGTAGGTGAGGATCCTTTTCTGGGTGGCAGGCTTCTGGTTGTATCCACACATGGCAGAAGGGGGTAGGGAGCTCTGTTGGGCCTATTTTGTAGGATATTAATCCCATTCGTGAGGGCTCTACCCTTATGACTTACCTCCCAAAGGCCACATCTCCTAATACCATCTCTTTTGGGGGTTAGGATTTCTACATGTGAATTTTTCTGGGGGGTAGGGTGACAAACAGACCAGAGCAGTTCTTTTCCAGTGGATCTTGGTCAATCTGAGGCCTGGAGAGATGGAATGTGACGTCACAAGTACAGAGTCTGCTGCCAAGGATGCAAACAATAAATGTTTTGTTGTTGTTGTTTTGACCAATTGTTTAAGTCCTGCTCAGAGGCCCATCCTCTCAGGAAGCATGGAGCAGGGGACTCCAAAGCAGCCCAAGGCTCTCGAGAAGGGGGGGAAAAGATGCAGCACGGCACAGTAGCTGACGGCTGGGCTCCCAGCTCAAGACAGGAGGATGTGTGTACACTGACGTCATGTAAACTTCCACATTCCTCCCTTTCCTCTGCAGATACCATCAGGCTGTGCGCTGGCCCGGGAGCAGAGAGATCACTTAGAGGCTACCCCTGTCATTCATGTGGGCTGGCTTCGCAAGAATGGCATGAAATCTTTCATCCTGCAGGAGAAGCCTGGGTGAAGGGAGGCCCCAAGGATGGAGATTCAGCTGCTGCTTTGGAGATTCAGCTGTTGCTCAGGGCTGACCTTTGGTCAGCAACAGAGAGCTGCCAAGTGACTTCAGACAAGGAGTGAGCAGAGAATACCAACAAGGATGTGCAATGCCAGCCTCTCTTTCCTCTGATGCCTGGAAACTATCTTAGGATCATAGAACAGCACTGGAAGGCACCCTTGAACTTGTCTAATCTAACCTGTTCATTTAATGGATAATGAAACCGAGACTCAGAGACAAGTGAATTGCCAGTGTTTATGCAGCGTTGAGGAAGAGGACTAAAGGGCTCCTCTGATCCACTGTTCAGGGATTCTTATGATTCTTGGCTTCTGTCCAAAAGTTCTCTCCCCCAGTTTCACAACCATGCTGTGAAACTCATTGAACACCAGTCGCTAAGTGCTTCCAAAATATAGAGCTGGGCTCAACTCTTGGTCACAACAAGACCCACCTCATATGATGCCAGTTTCCACTCCTTCTGCATTACCAGTGCTGTCCTGAGACAGTGGTTCTGTGAGACTTGCCCTCACAATAGAACCTCCTTAAGGATCTGATGCTCAGATCCCACCCCATATCAACTGAATCAGAATCCTAGGGGTGGGGCCTGGGAATTTTCTTTTCTTAAAAAAACTTTCCAGTTAATTCTAATATGCAGACAGGATTGTTAAACATGGTTCTAAAACTGCTAAGTTTGGCTCAAGTCATGACTAATGATAATATTAAATCTACCTGCTCCCCTTTCCCATCTCCAGTCAACACAACTGTTGATTGGAGGATAATCTCTGTCCTCCCTTCTTGTTGGTTTATCATGTGTTCACCCATTTAGGATAAGAGATGCCTATAAGACAGAAAATGGATTTAGGATATGAACCCATTTTTTAGATGGGGAAAACTGAGCCTGAAGTTGTTACCAAAGAATTTCAGTATAACAGTAGTTTAGTCATTGAAGTCCCAGGAGTTTGAGACTTCCTTAATACCTGGGGATACACTCAACTTATACTTTAAGGGTTGACATAGGCCAAGGAGATAAGCACTTCAGGGCTTGATTTAAAGAGTCCTGAGAACAACTCTGATTAAAGCCATCTCCCTTTCAGACTCATAGTAGATCGAGAAATCTCTGCCAGGAGCCTTTGGGATCTTAACCATAAATGTGACATTCCCGGGAGACACCCATGAAACTTGCATTAATCATTAGTACCATCTTTATACCACATAGTTATCTGATTCCTAGCAGAGAGCTGTGTAATTAGAATGGGAGCCTGGTGGGGTCAGTTGTGCTGTGGGTGGAGAGGTGGATGGAGTGTGAGACTTCACCACGGAATAGTGCAGTGGGGGATGCTGGTCACCTGAGAGCACAGGGCGTACAATCTGAGATGGGTGAAGAGGTAGGGACTTAAAAGGGGACAGGGGGACTCGGGCAGCAGGACGGAGAGCTCATTTGCCCTCAAGCAAAGCTGACAACTGGTCAAAGTTGGCACTTTGACCACCTTTTCTGCTCCCTTCTCCCCTTAACTGATTGGTTTCCTCCCAGCCTGCAAGGCCCATCATGTTCAGATATCATCCTGGATCCTTGATCAGTGTCATCATCAACATCATAACACGAACTACCATTAATAAGGAACAAATACCATTTATTCTCTGTGCCAAGGATTTTGTACATGTCATCTCCTTTAAATCTTAAATCGACTCTTGGATTAAATGCTACTCTACCAATTTTACAGATGACAAAATTGAAGTTTCAATGTAGCAGAGCTGGGAACTGACACAAGTCTGTCCAATTTGCCCAATGCTATGGCCCTCATGTAGAGCAGTACAACATAGAAAATTATCTCTTAAGTAATGATAGATTAAAATAAAATTTCCAAGAACGTTCCAAGTTTTTTAAGGAGAGAAGACAGGTGTGGATCCAGGGAAAAAAATCACAAATTTCGCCTTTTCTGACTCAGCATCAATGTGGAGAAATATCTGCAGGCAGATGCCTCCCCATAACCCCGGATCTCACCCCACCTGCTTGCCCTGAGGATGGACGGAGGCCACACATCACCTGGCCTTTGCCTGGAGTCAGTTCAGGGTCCCATGTCATCGGCTCCACACTTAAAAGATCTCTTGGGAATAACTCTGGGACTGGGGTCTCCTAAGAGCCTCTGGTTCTACTGTGCTAAGAAGTCAGTCTCTCTACTCTGAACTTTCTCA